CTCACTATTTCGTGCAAGGCGCTTTGGCGCTGGATTTGTCGCTGTAGCGGGGTGAGGGCCGCTTTGGCGAGCCAAACGCTACTTAAAGTCGTAAATAAATCCCTAAACGACCTCATTTTGCACTTTTCAATTTTTAGAGCTAAGGAACAAATCCTAGGCGACTCCTAACAATTTCCACCATTCTTGAGGCTAAATGTAAGTTTTTCACTCCCCGAATTCATTTTTCGATCCGTAGAACGTAATATAATGGGTTATTAATGATGGGGGAGGGTTTTTGATCTAGATTCTATGGTGGAAAAAGCCCTAGTTGGATACTTGGGATCATGGGTATGATCTAGGGTTGTTAGAATTGTTAGTAATCTGGGTAATTAGTGATTGTTTATTGATTCCCGTGTTATTATGATTGTTTGTAGACCAAAAACAAGCGAAATGAATCTGGAAAGGGAATGATCAAGTTTCTTAGGGTTTCAAGTTTGTTTCGAGGTAGGTAATAGTTATGATTCTATGATTATGTGATGTATGTTTCTTCTTGTTTCATTATGATACATGTATGTATATAAATGTTGCATTATTGATCACACTTGTTGTAAATGAGATAAATGAATGATGGTTACCATGAAATCATGACTTAATTGTATGATCTTGAGGATATATTTGTGATTGTGATTGTGGTTTATTGAATGGATCGGTTGCCACGTTCTGACATAACTAACTTGGATTGGTTGCCACGTTTCAGCATAATTATGGGATCGGTTGCCACGTTCCGGCATAATCATTGGAACGGGTACCACGTTCCGATATGCTAATTGTTTGGGTTTGGGTTCCATGAGAGGACCAATGACTTGTCATAATTGTGTATCTTAAGAAATGTCCGTTGTTCGTAAATGTTGATGATATTGTATATGTTCGATATATGCATGTGATTATATTGTTGTATTGGCTTGCTTATGTTACACTTAGTGGGATAGCTGTGTGATCCTACCAGAACACTGTGGTTGTGTACTGATACTGCACTTACTCTTATTTTTGTTGAGTACAGGGCATCTTCCAGCGGCTACTGACAGACCTCACTTAGAAGATCAATGATCATCGTTCGAATTCAAGGGTGAGTCAATTCTTTCGGGCTGTCATGAGTTCTTCTTTCGTCTATGTCCACACTTTCGGACTTAGACATTTCTATTAGTTATTAGTACATTAGTTTGGGGTTGTATCCCTTCTTGTTTAGACTTGTTGAACTTTAGATGTTTTGGTATATTGACTTTCAGGTTCTATGTTATTTCTTCTGCATTGTTTAGTTCGTTGTTAGACTTTTGTTGGAGTTTATGGAACTCTCTATTTCTTTCCTTAGTATTTAACTTGCTTCCGTAACTTAAATGTCGTAGTTTTGGTTTAGTTGCTTGGTTTGTGTTGTAGTAATGGTTCTCCCACCGGAGGGTTAGTGTGGGTGCCAATCACGATGGTCTGGGTCGTGACAAATATTACCCAACTTTGCATATTTTTCTCAAAATATATTTGACACAAAAAAAACATTATTCTCTCTCCTATTGAGATGTCATGTCATATTATTCATTTTTTAATTAAAAAAATAACTTTTAAAAATAATTCATATGTTATATTCAGTAAAAAATATTCTTAATTATTTATCATTTTTAGTTTTTTACTTTAGTATATTAAGAGATAGACATTTTTTATTAGTGTAAATCATAATAACAGAAAATAAATATGAGTTTGTTTAAAAATGTTCACTTTGCATTATGTAATTATTATTTTTACCGAGTATATCATATGAGTTGATTTAAAAAGATAAAAAGAGAACAATATGACATGACATTCATTAATAGAGAGAAATATGTTTTTTTGTGTCAAGTATATTTTAAGAAAAATATGCAAAATTTGGTGATATTATAGTCTTAAAATAAACAAAAGTCATATTATTAGGTAATTTTCCAAACATGAATGACTAGGGAAATTACTCTAATTTTAACTTGTCTAAATTTAACTTATTTTGCACCATAAATCAACGGGAGAACAAAAGGTTCTAAATAAAAGTGAATTTTGCTATCGCAGCCAATGATGTTGACAATTTGTACGGCATAAATCAATGTATTCTAGTATTGTTTATATATTGAGTGTCTAATTTCTCATCCATCCTGTTTTGCTTAATTATTGAGCTTATGGAGTTGCTATTCATCTTCACTTCACTCTTGTTATTCCTTTCTTTCATCCTTCTTTTATGGAAGCAATCAAAAACCTTGAACAAAAAATTGCCTCCAGGGCCATGGAGTCTACCTTTTATTGGGAATTTGCACCAGTTAATGAATGGTCGCCTTCCACATCATACTTTTAGAGATCTATCGCAAAAATATGGACCGATCTTTCATTTACGTCTTGGAGAAGTATCACACGTTGTTGTATCTTCACCTGATATAGCAAAGGAAATCATGAAAAATCAAGATCTGAATTTTGCTACTAGGCCTCAATTAATGGTCGGAGAAATCATTATGTATAATCACTAAACATGCGCAAAGTGTGCACCCTGGAACTTCTTAGCACAAAAATGGTCAAATCATTTGATTCAATTCGACAAGCAGAGATGTCAAGTCTTATTTCATCCATTAACTCCATGCCGGACTCGTTGATCAACTTGACAGATAAGATTTTTTGGTTTACAGGTTCTGTAACTTGTAGATCTGCTTTTGGAAAAATAATCAATGGTCAAGATAAGTTGATAATGTTGATAAAGGATATCACATTATTAGCTGGCGGAACTGAATTGGCTGATGTATTTCCATCTCGAAAATGGCTTCACCAGATTTATGGATTGAAGTCAAAAATATTGAAGGTTCACAAAGAAACAGATGTAATTTTGGAGAATATCATTAATGAACATCAGAAAAATCGAGCAAATGGTAACAATGGCAATAGTGAGTATGGAGGGGAAGATTTAGTCGATGTTCTACTGCGAGTCATGGAAAGTGGCGAACTGGGAACTCCCATCACAAATAATAACATCAAAGCAGTTATATTTGTAAGTTTAGTTTCATATAAAGTGTCTCCTTCTCTCTCTCTTTAGTAGTATATTGAAATGTTAAAAACTAGGTATATCTGAATATTTTTAGTTACATGCAGGACATGTTCATAGCCGGAGCTGAGACATCATCTGCGATTATTATTTGGGCATTGGCAGAGATGATAAGAAATCCAAGAATAATGGCTAAAGCACAATTTGAAGTTAGACAAGTCCTTAAGGGAAAGACAATATTTGAGGATACTGATCTTGAAGAGTTGAAGTACTTAAAATTAGTGATTAAGGAAACGCTAAGGTTGCATCCTCCATTTCCTTTATTATTACCAAGGGAATGTAGAGAAGAAACAAGAATCGGAGAATACACAATACCTATCAAGACCAGAGTCCTAATTAATGCATGGGCAATTGGAAGAGATTCTAAATATTGGCATAATCCTGAAAGCTTTATTCCTGAGAGATTTGATAATAGTTCAATTGATTTTCGAGGAAATCATTTTGAATTTATCCCCTTTGGTGCAGGAAGAAGAATGTGTCCAGGGTGGTTATTCGGCTTATTGAACGTAGAACATCCTTTAGCTCAGTTGCTTTATCATTTCGATTGGAGGACTCCTTACGAAGGCCCTCTAGAGAATTTTGATATGACGGAAACAGATGGAATAACTGCAATTAGAAAGGATGATCTTTGTTTAATTGCTACTCCTTTTGATTAAACTTAAGAACTTTGTTTTAAATAAATAAATAAATAATTGTGCTGGTTTACGAGCCTGTGATTACTATTAATAAAAAGAGTATTTATTTTACTATAACTTGTCCTCATATCTTTACCTGATATAGCTATCTCTATCTTACATTTGAGTAAACTGATAATTCAAAGAAGAAGAAAATTAGCAATATTTGTGTTCAACGTCATACCAGGTTTGAATTAGGGCTGCATAACTTTTGGATCAAATCAACAATCCAAATGGATAAATTGGTTATTAGGTTAATGATTTGAACTATTGGTTTAACGGTTCGGAATCGGGCTATTGATTCAGGTCTCGGTTTAGTTCATTTCTCATCACGATTTCTCAGTATAGGCACTCTATACTGCATTGCTGTTGTTTTACTCAGTTACTTTGATGTTATTTGTAAAATCTAATAAGTAGCATTTGTATTGAGGAGTTTCTTTGATTGCTATAATCTGCACAAGAATCAATGGCTACAGATGTTGATTAGCTGATGGAACGACCAAATTGTATGAGAAATCTATTAGATTTAGAAAATGACTTGCTTTGCTTTGATTGCTATAATCAGCTACATGTCAAGCTTAAGCTGCTAAAATGGCTATTCAGAGTTCCTTATCATACTTCTTCCTTTCACTTTAAATTAGATTTTGCACAACCACATTTGGTTTCGTTTAGTTATATGAACTAGCTAGCATCTAATCCTGAAATTTGTAATATGTGGATCACTGCAACTTTCTTATTTACCACAAACTGTTCTGTTTCCTTCCTAATCTAATCTATGGTACGCACGATAAGTTTGAAAAATGAGAAAGAAGAAAGGATTTACGAGCTTATTAGTGCACAAGACGTAATAAATAACGACACATGCAAGCATATAAACTCACGCCGGAACGGCATGCTATCGGCAACGTAAATGGCAGATTGCGCTACTCTTTTTCAAAGCGCAGTTTGCACATTCATTGCCTTTTCTATAAGTAATATATAAATAATTTGCACTCACAAGATCGACGACTATTTTCCGGCTAAGAGAATGGAGACGATGGCCGGCGCGGCAGAAGAAGAAGATCAAATTACAGAAATGAATTTGCATCTGAGATTTATAAAGGGTGAAATTGAAATGAAAAGAGCCCTAAATTGGGATACTTGGGCTTGTTTGTTAACCCCGTCAAGGAAATGGGCCTTTTAGTCCATCTCTGTTATCGGTTAATGTTTAGATGAAATTACAGTTAAGCCCTCGAAGTGTTCTGTAATTTTCACATTCGCCCATAAACTTTTTGCGAATTTCAATCAAAACGACGACATTTCGAATGGTAGCTTCAGTACGATCATGGCAGCTTCCATATCTAAAACCCTAACCAGAAATCTTCTCCGGCGAAGTGGTGAGACTACACAAGCATTGCAGCTCCGGTTATCCTCCGCCGCTTCTTCAGCTCCTGCCATCTCTGTGACTGAAACTCAACCTCCAGGTCACCGCCTTCTCCTTTCTTCCTCAAGCAAATATTGTAATTTTTTAATCATTTTTATCTTATTTCCGGAATTTAGGTTATCTGAATCACTGCCGGTTTGTTTGTATTCCTCAGAGAAAGGTGGACCTTCAAAATGGTCAAACTTACTGCTCTTCGTACCGGGGGTCATCACCTTTGGCCTTGGCTCTTGGCAGATCATCAGAAGGCAAGATAAGGTGAATACTTCTTTTCGGGAGATTTATCATTTCTATTTTCTAAAGGAAGCGCGATGAAAAATGCTGTTGATGCAATTTTGTTTTCGATGGATACTTTTTGTTGCTTGGTTTGTTCAATCACTGTATCTAAAGTCTGGAGTGTGGTTAGTTCGTTATAGTTTCAGTTAATGCCAGATTGCCTGAGAAAGAAATTGCAAACATTGATCACTATTTGCAGATTGAAATGCTTGAGTACAGACAAAATCGATTGCAAATGGATCCTCTAAACTGCAATGAGGTTTCTCCTTCAGGTGAAAATGTGGATTCCTTGGAGTTCTGCAGGGTACTATGTAGAGGAGTGTTTGATGAGAAGAAGTCCATTTTCATAGGGCCACGCTCCAGAAGCATTTCAGGGGTGACTGAAAATGGTTACTATGTTATTACTCCTCTCATGCCTTTGGCAAATGATCCTAAGAGGTACATGTACATAAGACTAAGTCAGTATAGTTTTGTGCATTAGGTTTGTACTTCTTGCTCAAGCTTTGTTGATATCTCAGTGAAAGTTAAATAGGATTCCTGAAAAAACAACAGTTAAATAGGGTTTAGTCACCAAAATAAATAAATTGCTACATCTAGTCACTCAGTACATGTTAAAAGGAAGTTACTGAATAGTAGTTGAGATGTCACTGATTTGTAATCTCTAGTTATTATAGAGAGCGCAAAAAGATTTGGCTGTTTTTATGATCAAAGATTTTGGTACTTCGCTGCACCTGTAAAAACCAATATTGCCATTTATAAGGTCCAAAGATAGCTTTCTCATTAACAAGAATTTAATTCCTTTAATCTAAGCTGGTGCATCATTTTTTGTGTGTAGTGTATACCTCTCATAACTTCACTTGAATCACTTATGTATGTATTAGCTCAACTGCTATACTATATTACAATACATCTAGCTTTCTTATTGCTTATATCATGATTCAATGAAATTGAGTTTCTTATTTATTTTTATTTAAATACTCTTCGGATTGGTTTAGGATTGAGATGAGTGGATTTATTTGATTAATTTTATTGGTTTCTAGATTGTTATGCAACTAATTCACACCATCTACTACCTTTTTTACACTCCTTACCTTTGTAGGCATTAACCCAACCATCATACTATCATCTAGTTTCTCTCCAAGATTAAGTTTTCTGTATGCATTTACAGTTTTGGCACCTTTTCATTTAAATTTTGAATCATACGAGAAAAATCACTTCAAATTCATGTCTGGCAGCAGCATGAGTGGTTAATTCGGTCTAATCATATCAACTTCCTTCCAGTGTGCAGGCACCAATTCTTGTCAATAGGGGATGGGTCCCCCGGAATTGGAGAGACAAGTCTTTGGAAATGGCTGCGGCTGATGAACAACCTTCAAGTATTGCACCGCCATCTCAAGAGAGTGGAAAGAGCTCCTGGTGGATGTTTTCTTCAAAAAAGAATAAAGTAGAAGAGGTTATTCTCTTTTCTTACTTTAATTTCCTGATTAAAGTTGTGTGTAATCTGAACATGGCACCTGATGGCAATACATTCAATCAACAGGATCAAGTTCCAACTGTTAAACCCACAGAAGTGATTGGAGTCATCAGAGGAAGTGAGAAGCCAAGTATATTTGTTCCAGCAAATGATCCCAATTCCTTCCAGTGGTTCTATGTTGATGTTTCAGCCATTGCTCGTGCTTGTGGACTCCCTGAGAACACACTCTACATTGAAGCCATCAATGATAATGTCGACCCAAGCAATCCTTATCCAATTCCAAAGGATACAAACACATTGGTTCGGAGTTCTGTAATGCCACAAGATCATCTTAACTACACATTTACATGGTATTCCCTGTTCGATATATGTTCTGATACATGCTTCTGAGTCTTTTTACCATTGATATATTGACTATTTCTCTCATCTTATTGAGGCCCCTTGTCTCTGTCTAGTGCTAATGCTTTTATCGAAAGAAATTACCATGTAAAATTGTGTACCTAAACTTGATCGAAATTTCATCTCACTAAAAGTTTGTTTCCCTTTTCCAACTTTTTACATCTAGGTTTATTGTCATGTCTTTTTTTGTCAAGTTTTGATGAGCTAATATTGGATTCCCAACAAGTCAGCAAAGATGAAAGATTATTCGCAAGCATCATTTCTTGGTTTTACTAGACTTCACATGCATGAAATAGTTTCACTAGTATTTATGATGTGACAAACTACTAAGACTAATTATTTAGAAGTTTATAACTCAGAATTAGCATTCAATTGGATTACACCTACATGTTGCAGACTTCTCCTGTATTTATTTGTTCTTTTTGTGTATTTTCTGAACTACTTCTCTATTTTTTTGCAAGGTATTCTCTGTCAGCTGCTGTGACGTTTATGGCTTATAAGAGGCTACAGTCAAAGAAAACCCGGAGATAGCAAACGTTTGAACTTGTTCCTTTGAGGGTATTTTGGCAATATAAGATCAGCTAGTCGTTGAGGCAATGCTGCTAATTTGCACCCCAGGGACCTTGAGAATATTACAGAGTAGCTTTCATGTCATTAACCATCTCTAAGGAGAGAAAAGCTGCTATATTTTCAACCCGTCTCAGACCTTCAATCCTTTTTCTCCTACATTCTACAGGCGAATGCAACCCATTTTTTTAAAATGATACCAACCCAATAATGTCGATTTAGTAATATTCTCAAGATTTTGTCATCTAAGAGTTGTTTGATAAGTTAAATTTTGTTTTGATAATTCTTCTTACAAAAATGCTTTCTTTGATTTAAGAGTTTTGAGAAATTATACACTGATTATGTTGTTAATGTTGTTCTTGAATAGACATTTTTTAGATTCTATGTAGGAGGGTTTTTGCTATATTAATCATAGTTTCTCTATGAGGTTTGCTCAATTTGGGTTTACAGGAGATTGCCATTAGGATTGATATAGTAAAACCAAGTCAAGCCGAAAGTCCCTTTTTAACAAATGTAAAACTTAACTGTGAAACTTAGTAAAAAAAGGATCTCCGAAACAAACTGATATTAAATATACTAATTTCCCTTTCCATATGCTTTTTACAACAAATCGCTGCCTACACAATAAATCAAAGAATGGAAAACACAACAACCGAAATAAAAGGAAAGCAAATACAACACTGCCTAGGGGAACAGGAAGAGTTTATCAGACCAAAGAATGAAATGAATATAAAATAGAACTGAGAAAGAAAACAAAACAGATTTTGCTCGCTTTAATAACAGTTGACAAGTAGGGCACTTGTGGTTGCTTCACTATGTAATGCTTTCAATAAAGCCACAAACTTGAAGAGACTTTCTTCTGAAAACCATTTTAGCTTCCATTTCAGAGGACCTGAGACAGGTTTTCTCTTCATGAGTTTCGTATTTTTGACTACCTTGCCCTCCTTCAATGAAAGGGGGAACTCGGACATGACACCTTCCAAAGTCAAGGTCACACAATAGCAATCTGTGGTTTCGATTACCTGAGAGTTGAAGGAAATCCATACCATCAGCTGTGTTAATGCATTTCCGAGTAAATTTTTATGTTGAGAAATCTACAACCCATAAGATCCTACAAATCAACCAGTATTGCCTAAACAACCAAAATAAGACATGGTGAAAGCAGTCATAAAATTAAAGAACAGTCAGCAGTAGACCCAAAAACACACTATAATAAGAATTAAACAGTTTCAGAACCTTAATCTGAACTAAATAGGATTCTTGGTTTGTGTCAACTAGTAATAACTATATTCTGTTGTCTCTAAATTCCATGGGCAAATATTAGACCTTACAGCTGAGTCATAAAGGCAATTTGGTTTCTGTATTAGATTGAAGAGGTTGCGCATCAGTTTGGCCAGTTAATAGAAAAGAAATTTACAAACCCACCTCAGAGTTTGTCACAATCTGCTACTCTAAATTGAATATAAGAAGTCAAATTATATACCTTACTGGCATCTGTTGAAAGGAAATGGTTAGAGAAGGTTTAAAAAATCAGTGCTTGCAGCAGATCCTGAACTCAAGACTTTTTGCACCCTTACAATTGTTGGGAAAATATATAACTTGTTGATATAACCACTAAATTTGTCTCGAAAATCATCTGATCAGTGATGTGATATAGTCAATAAATATGGTAATAAACTAAAATAGACAACTTTTATGGTTTTTCATATTCCGAATGATTCTTTTTCTATATTTAGGCAGCGGGATCAATTGCATTGACACAAAATTGTGTGCACAAGCACGGCAGCAACACTGAGTTATACTTGATACCAAATGACCTAAAGGAAAGGTGAACCATATAAAAAGACAAATGATAAAGATGTACAAATAGTTCAACAACCAAGAGGTGAACACTATTGACATTACCATGTATAAGATGTTGCTAGATTAATTTATTGAAAAGAAAAACATGATACTAGATTGATAAGAAACAAATGCTCAAAAAAAATATTATTACCACTTCTGACACGCTGACAATGGAACAACAAGAGTCCAACGAGAAATAGGAGGAGCAAGATGCACTCTCAGAAAGGGAACCAAGCAGGATTACATCTTCCATGCACAGAAGTAGATGCCTCCCAAGCACAAATAGTGATCTCCCCATCCATGAATCCTCTGTCAATTATAAAGAAGTTTCATTAATCAACCAACACCTAACAGGAAATTCACAACTGAGATGTTTTATCAACCTAACAAAGTTGGACAATTCTGACAAACAGTAATAATGTACCCATTGTAGGACAGCTGGACAACTGTTCTCTTTGTCCAAAAACTTCAAACTCTCCTTGACCACCTCACTCCCCCCCCCCCCCCCCCACCCCCCAAAAAAAAAAAAGGAAAACAAGAAACCAAAAAAACAGCAGAAGGAGAGACTAATGACAATGATGATGCTGGCAAAAATAGATGCACCATGTTGGGGCAAAAAGTGTTTTTTTCTCTTTTTCATTGCTGTTCTTTAGGCAAGGAGTCAGCCTAGATAATCTGTTAAGCTAAATAACAGATTATTTCTGTCTAGCTATCTAAGTTCTATGTGTCATATCACTGACATCACTCCTTTTGTTTCATGTTGGTGCCATTTGCTGCAATCCTCTTTGCTTTGTCAATAAACTAGAAACTTCTTTGGATAAAATAGAAGCAGCTGAATTTATTGAGAAAAGGAAAAATTATTGCAAAAAGGAAATGCTGCAAATATGCCACCCTTTCTTTACACCTACAATGCTCTACTCCAACTAAAAACATATAGCTTTGCTTAACAGAAGCAGCAACATCTCAATGAGGACTTTTATTTTTGAAACTGGCAACATACAAGTTCGTAACATACTCATAGGACAAATACAGCTATTCAATTTTTCTTGACATCAGCAATGAAGCTATGAAGACACCTCTATGTCCATGCTCAACTACATCAGTATAAGGATGATCATATAGAAGACTGCAAGAACAACTAGAAATACCTTTCGAATTGTTGCACCAGAACATCACCATTGAATACTGAAGAATGCTCATCTTCAAACCTCCACAGACATGTCTTTCGAAAAGATCAGCCTGAACCTTCTCCAAACTGTCATCAATTTGGAAAACCAGCACATAAGGAAATGGTAATCAAAGTAGAAACATAGTACTCAATGTTTTCCCACAAAACCAATTTAGACGTGCAGAGCCAAGGTAGATCACCTTCGCAGAGAACAGTTATTTTCCATCACATGTGAATCAGTAAACCCTAATATCGATAATAGTTCTCTGGATACGTCTATATTTCTGGTCACGAAGAGGTAGGTTGTGTCCCGTTCAAAGCACACTCTAGTTGAAAAAGGATGGAAGAGAATAAGATCTTCAGAAAAGTAAAAGGCACGCAAACCAATGGAAGTGACACAGAACCCACAAACCTTACAATCTGAAGTCCCAAACCCACAAAAATCTCTCTCATCTGTTGTGTACCATGACAGCCAACCAATCTTAATCTTGAACCTGCTAAATTCCAACATACAAATAGTGTTTGTAAGCATGCAGCATCATTTCATTGTCTCTAAAGTAGTAATCGAAAGAGAAAAAAAACTTCACATCTTGCAAAATGTTCATACCACAGTAAAGCTAACCTGACCCATCACATGAGTTTTCAAGGAGTAGCACATGTAACTTATGCTCACTGCTCAAGGTTACAGCTACCTTGCTGTAAATTCAATAGGATTAAAGTAAGTAATAGTGGAAGAAAACAGTAACTTAAATGACTACAGCTCAGAAAAGTAAAAGCACGTTAGTGCCCATAAAAACAAACTATAAGAAGTAGAAACAATTCCTAGATGATATAATCCAGACATACGATATGTTTTAGCAAAACTAGAGTTAATGTTCTTGGACATAGCACGGAAAATAAAGCAGGCAATCGAAAGACTCAGAAAAGAAAAGGCAAGTCAATGCTTAGGAAACTCATAACACTTGGCAGAAAACATCTGAATATCCTATCGAGGCATGCCATAATATATAGTATAGACACACTCATACTTGAGATACTATTATAGTCTCGCATGGTTCAAAAGACATATAATTTCCTCATGCCATATCCACAGATCCATCACAATCTAGTTTTTTTTTCCGATGGAGGACACACATTAGAGAGCTCTTTCCACGTAAACCATTTCTTTTGCTGATGAATCAAAGAATCATTTCACTTAAGATGTGCATCAATATGGTGCCAAAAGGCTGCAATTTTTATTTTTTTTATAAATGCAAGTTGCAATTTTTTTAGCATTGATCTCCTTTCTACTTGGACCAATTAAAAGAACTAATCAAACTAGTCCTCAATCATAAACCTATCGAAGTTTTTCCCTCCTTGACATAAATTAGTAATAGTATATTTGACCTTAAACATGAATCAAAGAATTTCATTTATCCCTTTTGCTAGCGAACACGACAGACTTGAACACCCATATGAAGTTCACCAGTTTTTGTAGCCCCTGACTTGTCCTAAAAACGTAGATATCCTCCAGACCTTTAAAGATTCCATGAACCCCACCTCTCCAAGACAAATATCACTTCCCAATGCAATGAGATAGCTAAGCATGTTTTGGCGAGGGAGAGACAACTGAAAAGAAAGGTTTTTTGAGCAGTGGCAGCTACTAGGAGCTCAAACTTGGGTTAATATGTCAATACAATCTCAAGGAGTACGATAAGTAAGTATGCAGGCTGATTATTTGAACACAAGAATTCAGAGAGCAAACTAAAATATCCTTGAGCAAAAAAGAAAGGTGACTATAATGAAATCTCATGATCGACACCCAGAATTGCCAACATGTAACTGACAAACTCATACCATTTATCAGAAGCGCACATAGTAGAAAATAAAAATGTCCGCCCTGCACAAAAAAAAATTCCATCTAATTAAAGATTTTGGGAATGGTACATCTACCTTTCACTGAACTGAGAGTCCTTTTCAAGCAAACAGTTGCATAAAATGTATCTCTGACAAGATTCATCAATTCCAGAATCAGCAGCTTTGTTGTTAAAGTAATTCTTAATTAGCTCCTCAGCCCCACAACTATCAAGGGATTTTCTCATCTCACTTTGGCTAAATGTTCCAACCCCTCTGTCTTGAAAACCATTTGTATCCACTATTTCGTGCAAGGCGCTTTGGCGCTGGATTTGTCGCTGTAGCGGGGTGAGGGCCGCTTTGGCGAGCCAAACGCTACTTAAAGTCGTAAATAAATCCCTAAACGACCTCATTTTGCACTTTTCAATTTTTAGAGCTAAGGAACAAATCCTAGGCGACTCCTAACAATTTCCACCATTCTTGAGGCTAAATGTAAGTTTTTCACTCCCCGAATTCATTTTTCGATCCGTAGAACGTAATATAATGGGTTATTAATGATGGGGGAGGGTTTTTGATCTAGATTCTATGGTGGAAAAAGCCCTAGTTGGATACTTGGGATCATGGGTATGATCTAGGGTTGTTAGAATTGTTAGTAATCTGGGTAATTAGTGATTGTTTATTGATTCCCGTGTTATTATGATTGTTTGTAGACCAAAAACAAGCGAAATGAATCTGGAAAGGGAATGATCAAGTTTCTTAGGGTTTCAAGTTTGTTTCGAGGTAGGTAATAGTTATGATTCTATGATTATGTGATGTATGTTTCTTCTTGTTTCATTATGATACATGTATGTATATAAATGTTGCATTATTGATCACACTTGTTGTAAATGAGATAAATGAATGATGGTTACCATGAAATCATGACTTAATTGTATGATCTTGAGGATATATTTGTGATTGTGATTGTGGTTTATTGAATGGATCGGTTGCCACGTTCTGACATAACTAACTTGGATTGGTTGCCACGTTTCAGCATAATTATGGGATCGGTTGCCACGTTCCGGCATAATCATTGGAACGGGTACCACGTTCCGATATGCTAATTGTTTGGGTTTGGGTTCCATGAGAGGACCAATGACTTGTCATAATTGTGTATCTTAAGAAATGTCCGTTGTTCGTAAATGTTGATGATATTGTATATGTTCGATATATGCATGTGATTATATTGTTGTATTGGCTTGCTTATGTTACACTTAGTGGGATAGCTGTGTGATCCTACCAGAACACTGTGGTTGTGTACTGATACTGCACTTACTCTTATTTTTGTTGAGTACAGGGCATCTTCCAGCGGCTACTGACAGACCTCACTTAGAAGATCAATGATCATCGTTCGAATTCAAGGGTGAGTCAATTCTTTCGGGCTGTCATGAGTTCTTCTTTCGTCTATGTCCACACTTTCGGACTTAGACATTTCTATTAGTTATTAGTACATTAGTTTGGGGTTGTATCCCTTCTTGTTTAGACTTGTTGAACTTTAGATGTTTTGGTATATTGACTTTCAGGTTCTATGTTATTTCTTCTGCATTGTTTAGTTCGTTGTTAGACTTTTGTTGGAGTTTATGGAACTCTCTATTTCTTTCCTTAGTATTTAACTTGCTTCCGTAACTTAAATGTCGTAGTTTTGGTTTAGTTGCTTGGTTTGTGTTGTAGTAATGGTTCTCCCACCGGAGGGTTAGTGTGGGTGCCAATCACGATGGTCTGGGTCGTGACAAATATTACCCAACTTTGCATATTTTTCTCAAAATATATTTGACACAAAAAAAACATTATTCTCTCTCCTATTGAGATGTCATGTCATATTATTCATTTTTTAATTAAAAAAATAACTTTTAAAAATAATTCATATGTTATATTCAGTAAAAAATATTCTTAATTATTTATCATTTTTAGTTTTTTACTTTAGTATATTAAGAGATAGACATTTTTTATTAGTGTAAATCATAATAACAGAAAATAAATATGAGTTTGTTTAAAAATGTTCACTTTGCATTATGTAATTATTATTTTTACCGAGTATATCATATGAGTTGATTTAAAAAGATAAAAAGAGAACAATATGACATGACATTCATTAATAGAGAGAAATATGTTTTTTTGTGTCAAGTATATTTTAAGAAAAATATGCAAAATTTGGTGATATTATAGTCTTAAAATAAACAAAAGTCATATTATTAGGTAATTTTCCAAACATGAATGACTAGGGAAATTACTCTAATTTTAACTTGTCTAAATTTAACTTATTTTGCACCATAAATCAACGGGAGAACAAAAGGTTCTAAATAAAAGTGAATTTTGCTATCGCAGCCAATGATGTTGACAATTTGTACGGCATAAATCAATGTATTCTAGTATTGTTTATATATTGAGTGTCTAATTTCTCATCCATCCTGTTTTGCTTAATTATTGAGCTTATGGAGTTGCTATTCATCTTCACTTCACTCTTGTTATTCCTTTCTTTCATCCTTCTTTTATGGAAGCAATCAAAAACCTTGAACAAAAAATTGCCTCCAGGGCCATGGAGTCTACCTTTTATTGGGAATTTGCACCAGTTAATGAATGGTCGCCTTCCACATCATACTTTTAGAGATCTATCGCAAAAATATGGACCGATCTTTCATTTACGTCTTGGAGAAGTATCACACGTTGTTGTATCTTCACCTGATATAGCAAAGGAAATCATGAAAAATCAAGATCTGAATTTTGCTACTAGGCCTCAATTAATGGTCGGAGAAATCATTATGTATAATCACTAAACATGCGCAAAGTGTGCACCCTGGAACTTCTTAGCACAAAAATGGTCAAATCATTTGATTCAATTCGACAAGCAGAGATGTCAAGTCTTATTTCATCCATTAACTCCATGCCGGACTCGTTGATCAACTTGACAGATAAGATTTTTTGGTTTACAGGTTCTGTAACTTGTAGATCTGCTTTTGGAAAAATAATCAATGGTCAAGATAAGTTGATAATGTTGATAAAGGATATCACATTATTAGCTGGCGGAACTGAATTGGCTGACGTATTTCCATCTCGAAAATGGCTTCACCAGATTTATGGATTGAAGTCAAAAATATTGAAGGTTCACAAAGAAACAGATGTAATTTTGGAGAATATCATTAATGAACATCAGAAAAATCGAGCAAATGGTAACAATGGCAATAGTGAGTATGGAGGGGAAGATTTAATCGATGTTCTACTGCGAGTCATGGAGAGTGGCGAATTGGGAACTCCCATCACAAATAATAACATCAAAGCAGTTATTTTTGTAAGTTGTGTCAAATAAAACATCCCATTCTTATTCTCTCTTCTCTTCTTCTTCTTTATATTTAAAAATATTTATTAGTATTAAAATGTTGAGTTTAGTAATCATTCATAATATTGGAATGTTAAAAATGAAGTATATCTGAATATTTTTAGTTATATACAGGACATGTTCTTAGCAGGAGCTGAAACATCATCTACAACAATTATTTGGGCATTCGCAGAAATGATAAAAAAACCAAGTATCATGGCAAAAGCACAACTTGAAATTAGAGAAGTCCTTAAGGGGAAGAAAGTATTTGAGGATATTGATTTAGAAGAATTGAAATATCTAAAATTAGTGATTAAAGAAACATTAAGGTTGCATCCACCTCTTCCTTTGTTACTCCCAAGGGAATGTAGAGAAGAAACAAGGATTGGCGAATACACAATACCTATCAAAACCAGAGTCCTAGTGAATGCATGGGCAATCGGAAGAGATCCTGAATATTGGCATAATTCAGAAAGCTTTATTCCTGAGAGATTTGATAATAGTTCTATTGATTTTCGAGGAAATCATTTTGAATTCATTCCCTTTGGTGCGGGAAGAAGAATGTGTCCAGGGTGGTTATTCGGCTTAATGAACGTAGAACATCCTTTAGCTCAGTTGCTTTATCATTTCGATTGGAAGACTCCTTACGAAGGCCCTCTAGAGAGTTTTGATATGACGGAAACAAATGGAGCAACTGCAAGAAGAAAGGATGATCTTTGTTTAATTGCTACTCCTTTTGATCTCTCTCTTAATAGTAGAAATAAACTTTAGAACTTTGTTCCTTTATTTCAAATAATTGTGCATTTCTCTGGTTGCAACTTGTTTAGAAATTCAAGAGAATGCTGTTGTTGCAGTTTACTTTCTTATAGATACTTTGTTCCTTCTTTCCAGATCTACTATAGTTGAGTCGGCTTATTTTGACTTGTCTAAATTTAACTCAGTACAATTAAATTAATGGATTGGAGAATAAAACGTGTGAAACAACAGTCAATTTTACTGGCGCAGCCAATGATTTTGAAAATTTGTACGGCATAAATCAATCAATAAAATGTGTAGATATTTATCTATTGTGTCTAATTTCTTAATTACTCCCAGCCACCCTGTTTTGCCATATTAAATAAGAAATATAATATCTATGGAGATACAACACTTACTTTTCATATTCACTTCACTCTTGTTATTCCTTTCTTTCATCCTTCTTTTATGGAAGCAATCAAAAACCTTGAACAAAAAATTGCCTCCAGGCCATGGAGGCTACCTTTTATTGGGAACTTGCACCAGTTAATGAATGGTCGCCTTCCACATCATACTTTTAGAGATCTATCGCAAAAATATGGACCGATCTTTCATTTACGTCTTGGAGAAGTATCACACGTTGTTGCATCTTCACCTGATATAGCAAAAGAAATCATGAAAATTCAAAACCTTCATTTTGCTACTAGGCCTCAATTATTGTCCGGTGAAATTATTATGTATAATCACTCGGACATTGGAACATGTCCATATGGTGATTACTGGAGAAACATGCGCAAAGTGTGCATCCTAGAACTTCTTAGCACAAAAATGGTCAAATCATTTGATTCAATTCGACAAGCAGAGATGTCAAGTCTTATTTCATCCATTAATTCCATGCCCGACTCATTAATCAACTTGACAGATAAGATTTTTTGGTTTACAGGTTCTGTAACTTGTAGATCTGCTTTTGGAAAAATAATCAATGGTCAAGATAAGTTGATAATGTTGATAAAGGATATCACATTATTAGCTGGCGGAACTGAATTGGCTGATTTATTTCCATCTCGAAAATGGCTGGGTGGCGTGAATGTAGATAATTTGATGGATAATTGTGTTTCATTAATAGCCAATAACGTTAACTTAAAAGCATAGGGGTTTGACTTAGTAAGTAATTTGTTGGAGTTATGGTGAAGGTGGGAATATTAGTCC